GCTATCAATTTTAGAAATTAAATTTGTTATGTTAATAAAATTGTTTTACTTAGGCCAAAAAAAAATACTTGTGCCAAAAAAAAAATACTTGTTGGCCACGTTTTGGGAAAATAAAAAAATGAGTAGGTCGTAGAAAAAGTTTTTTTTTTTACCAATAATGTGTTTATGCCTAAAAAGTAGAAAATAAATCAAAATACAACAAAGACCATTTTAAATCGGTATTGAAGAGCAAAAGCGACTGCATAACACTGACGCATTGCGTACAGTCACAAGATAGGCCTTTAAAAAAAATCCGACCCTCAATTTCGAATATTTCTGGTTGATCGGGCGTGGCCAACACAATATTTTTTTTATTTTGGCTTATATTAAATTAACAGATTTATAATACAGTATGCAGTATAATTTAATTACCTTGTTTTCATACTTAGATTGGAGTGTTTTTTTAATTTTCTCCATCGTTTTGAACACAGAACTATTCTTTGCTTGATCATGCTGCTTGCTGTCATCCTGTATACAAGATATTTTAAGAAACCATGAAGAATATAATCACATTTTTATTTATTAAAATACTTGTTTTAATTGCGACGTATATGACATATTACCTCACTATAACTTTCGTCAACATCATCAACATCAGATAGCACAAATTTCTTGTTTGGTATTCTCGCCCGGTTTCCCTTTCCTAGCGTAGGTGTGGTGGTAAGGAGACCTGTTTTTATGAACATACACGTTTTTCAACCAATTTCTTTCTGTCATCTTTGGAAAAAAAATCAATTTGATGGTAGTTTAAGAAGTTATAATACATAGAAGAGAAATAAGACACTATTGTTTTCAATCCACTTATATCAAATTATATGGTGGCTGCTTCTTTCACACAAAAATGTGATTTTAATTACCCAACTTGGATTCTATTAATATCATCACTTTTTATTTTTTATCCAATTAAAAATAATAATATGGTACAAATAAAAAGCACATTTCACATGATAATAACCTGATGTTTAACATCATAAAAATCCAAGAATTTAAGTGTGAATACTGTGATTAGTTTGTAGAAAATTATTATTTAGAAAATATATTTTGTTTGGTATACCTAGGATTAGGCCTACCCCCAAAGCAATGGTATGGTACTTTTCCAACATTTCGTGTTATCATGTCCTGGCCTCTTTTTTCTTTTTTTTGTTAATTAAAACTACTGTACAGGTACTAAAAGTTTAATATTTACCAGGATTAAAAAAATTAATTCATTAAATTTTCATTCCTTCATGCATTCATTCATCTACAGTACAGGTATTATATAGTATTATAAGGTCTAAAAAAAAATAGGTTTGTTTGCTGTCACATTGTAAATATTTAAGCAAAGGGGCGGGCAGAAAAAAGTTGTTACCGAAATATTAAAATAAACTACTGTTACTATGTATCAGGTCAAGCTCACCAGCTCCATTTACTTATTAAATGTGTTAATATTGATCCTGTTGGTATCTCAGCACTTGTGTATGATTTGTATTAAGTATATTTTTATTTTGTATTGTGTGCAAGTTGGAATTTCAAGGAATGAATGCACAAAAAATGCACAATTTAAACCGGCGGTCGTGTAAAATCAAAATCGTGTCGAAATAAAAAATTGATTTTTTTTAACTTCAAAATAAAAAAATTTTAAGAAAAAAAAAAAAAAAACCCCGCACCTCATTTTTCGGATTTTAGGGGCAGCGGATAATGGCAAACAAACAAGTTTTTTTTTAGGCCTAACCTCTCGTAGCCTACGCGCAGCTATGTTTGGAGCGCCGTAGCTGCGAACCACTACGAAGGTCATTGTTATTTTAATTAGCTTTGCAATGATTGTAGGGTGGATCGTCGAGCTGATAAACAATATTGAAATATAATATAGTTTACCAGCTTTCTAAGCGTGAGCAATGTTGCAACTTACTAATAAAGAATGTTAGGTTCGTTTCCTACCTTAGATCGATCAAGTTTTATAAACCGTGTTTAGCTAGACCTACGTTTGACTATGTTCGAATTTCGATGTCATCTAGCAACATTCCCCCTACCTACCAAGGCTACCTAGGCCTAGGCTATGACTGCTTTAGGCCAACTTCGGCCACCGACATACACACAGAACATGTCGCAACACTTAATATTAATAGTGTGTTAAAATTTCAGTGATAAAATTATATAATTTGTGAAAAAATTGTGACGAATTAAACATGGCAAACTTTGCGCCATGGTTAACACAAGCAAAATATTTGCAAGATTTTTAAACATTTTGACGATAATAATTGTTAAAGATAGACATCATTGCTTGTTATCGATTATAGATCTCATTTTTTTATAGTTGTTGTTGTAGTACAAGAGCTTTTTAGTCACCAATTAATTAAAATACTGTACATACCTTCAAATTCAGAAGAAATTTCTATTTCATCCAACTTTTTGTTTTTAAAGTCAAAGGTCTTGCCTTTCTCAAGGGCTAGAAGTATTCTACCAACTTTCACCACTTGTGTAGTCTCTTCCGGCAATCTGTAATAATTTCGATGAACATTTATGTCATGGCCCATAAATGTTGCTAAAATGTCCAATTCATTGTTTTGAAGATTAAAAACTTGTGAAAACGTTGCTATGTGTTTTCGCAATCTTGTAGCCGTTAGATTTTGTGGTTTATTTACTCCACATTCCAAAGCAAATTTGTGGATGCATACACTACTACGAATAGGACGATTTGATGGTGCTGGTACTGCAAACAGGAATTTGTTGTCCTTGCTTATATCAACATTGGTTCTTGTTACAATTAGCAATTGTATGCTACCAAATATAGCTTCAGGAATTAGGATTGGGACTTTTCGTCCCCGTTTGCCCATTATTTCAAGTCTTTTCAGCTTCTTACAGAGACATTTTTCCCATTTGGACAAACTTTTCAAAATATCCTTGCTTGATTCAGAATGTACATTTGCCCAATCTTCAATTCCTATCCGTTCTGCTTCTCCACTACGCTTTCTATTAAACAGAATCAACTGGCAGAGAGTGACTTTGGCAAGAGTATACCAAGCATCTGTGTCAGACTTGCAGGCTTCTAGTTTCTCAGAGCATTCTTTTGATTTTTTTTTCAAGAAGACATTGAGAGCTACAACATCTTCTTCTAGTGGTAGCATTATGGGCTTGTTCCATTTTTGCTTATAGAGGGTGGACCAAGCATGGTTGGAGACTTCATCTGGCCACTCTATTTCACAGAGGTTTTCAAAGGCCTCACATTGCTCTTGTGTGGCAACATCTCTGGATTTAAGGGCAATTGCCCTTTTTATACTACAGCACCTTTTCAATGAGTGCCCAAGCTTTATAGCTAATGATGGTATCTTATATTTGTTTTGCAAAGAGTCAAATCCTGCAAGTTTTCTTACTGACTCTGTAACAGCATTAAAATTTTGTGGGCATATTGCATCGTTGAGATACATATTTTTATTCGCATGTACTTCTCTAAGTTCTAAAACTAATCGCCTGAGTTCTCTCATCTTTTGAGAACAATATTGAAATTGGTGATACTCGGTAAACTTTGAAAAAAGTCTCTTACCATAGTTCAGGATCAACATATCATTTCTTATCAAAAGCGAAATTCTGTCCACATTCATCTTGTTAAGTATGTTTTCTTGGAATTCACTACTAATGGCTGGTCCTTCGGTTGAAAGAATTAATGAGCATTTGCCTTGTATTCGTCCACCTTTAGCTACCTTTCCTTTTACAGCCAAAGCAGGGCACGACTTTTGGTGTTTCCATATTTCATTTCGTTTGTAGTAAGCAAGGCAATTACAACATGGCAGGTATTCTGTTGGTGTTGTCTTATAAATTGTCCTCTTTCCTGGAATCAGAAACCCTTTGCCACTTTTTAGCACTTCACTGTTGTGAGCATGATTTCCTTTATTTTTTAGTAGTCCCCACATCATTGATCTTTTTGCTGATTTTTTTGGAAGTGACAAAATTTGTGCAACCTCAATCTCTGAGCTGTGTTTTCTTTCAAAGTGTCGTGGAAGCTTTGCATATTGCATATTGCAATACACACAGAAATTATGGCGATCCCATATCCTTTTTGAAGAAGTATTCCTGGATGTCAAAACATAAATGTTGTCCTCTGTTTCACAATTATTCAATTCTGATAAATGAAAAAGAAAAAAATAGTTGGTCTTTGTCTTGGCCTGAAATATCTATGTGCATAAAAGACAAAATAAAATAAGTTTGCTTACTGGTATACAAATATGACTTTTCATGATGGGATTAGTAAAATCTTGTTTCGAGGCAATTCTAAAACCCTAGAGGCAATAGATCTTTCTGTTTCTGTTATCTAAAGCAGTCAATATTTGTTTTACCAGTTAAGTTATATAGATAAAGTATGAATCCACCAGCCCACCATATCCATTTAACTCCATATTGTTCTGTTATTTTTCTCTCTGTTGTGTTCAGTCCCTTTTTGTTTCATACCGTATTGGCACACATTTTTTTTATGTAATTATAATGAAAAATTAATTTGGCACACATGAATATAACACCAATGATTTTCAACAAGTAATTTTTTTAATACATAAAATATTAGGGTAATCAAATGGGGAATGAGTAAGGTTTAAATAATTTACTTTAAAACTTTTGAGAGCCAATGTTATAAAATGAGTAATATTTGTATATTTTGCACCATATACTGTTGGTGTGAAGTACAAAAGATTTTAGTACTGAATCTTTTTAAAATAGGTGATTATTTGCTGTGCAAATTTGATCAACGATCAAATTTATTATCGCATGCAGAATTGGAACTACCTTACATATCGTCGCTCGTCTCACGAACCCGCAAATCCGCAAAATGTTAGTTTTGAGAAAATCGCGATCAAAAAATTTCAGTTTTTCAAAATTCAATTCGGGACCAAAAATTTTATTGCATACAATTTTTTCTTTATTTAGTTTGTAAAATAACTTAGTAGAACAATATAAAAATTTAAAAATACAAAATTAATTAATATTTAATGAGTAATTAGCTAAGAAATGTATTCGTCACTTCGTGAAAATATTATTTACATTTTACTATATCGAAAATCGTATTGGCAGGGTACACCTTATTAGTGACGGTATTTGTTGGGATATCTGTTTGGTTTAGGTGTTGTGCTTTGTCAAAGTGGTAATCATCATCGCTAATTTTTGGTATAACGGGAGATGATATGTTTTTTTTTTCTCTATTAGAAGCATTGATGTGTCTGTTGCTATAATTAATTTTGGTGGGTGATAAGTCGTTGGAATTAGGAACACCCATTTTTGTTAGATTCTTCTGGGCCTAGGCAAATGTTGTAAAAGAAATAAAAATGAAACAATCCTACTGTACTTTCCAAGAAAGTACAGTAGGATTGTTTCATTTTTATTTATTTTTAACTATTCTATTTTAAAACAAAATAATAAGTAGTAACTTTACCTTTGTCATTAACTGTTTTTCTTTTCTTCCTTATATTGCCAGGGTACATCTCTGAAATTACAAATCCCAATAATGATCACCAAGTTACCTTTTTTAATCACAAATGTCTATCAATTTATCTTTTTAATCACATGTATTAATCATTTATATACAGAATAATATTCTCTGGTATTCTTTTTAAAATGCATGTATTGTGCATTTACGGTAAATTGTTTTACAGTTATATTCGAGCCAGAAAGATAACTATTCTACTTTAAACCAAAAATAATAAGTAGTAACTTTACCTTTGTCATTAACTGTCTTTCTTTTCTTCTTTATATTGCCAGGGTACATCTCTGAAATTACAAGTCCCACTTATGATCATTAATTTGCTTTTTTTTCCATCATGCATAATTTTTTATTCAATGTTTAATCTTAACCAATTACTTTTACTAAACAAACTCTTTTCTTTGGACTCTTTACAGGTGCATATTCTGTTTCAATGTCATCTACATTATAAATAAAAAAAACTTTTGTTATTAGTTTTTGCATGTTCCACACTACTGTGAAAAATATTGCGAACTTGCAAGCACTTCCATGACCATACAGCATTTTAGCCAGTAACATTGTCATGAAATTAAAAATGTTTATATATTTCATATATTCACTATGATTATTACTTTTTTAATCAAAATACAACAAAAATATTATTTCATTTTTCATCGGTGCCATACATAAAATTTAGGAAAAGTAAAGTAAAAGTAAAGTAACATGTAAGTTCTGCCTGCTCCAACATGCGGCCTGTAGGATTTCCGCAATACGAACACCATGAAACAATCCAAAGTATTCTCATCATTTTAATTTATAAACCAAAATTAGTTCAACTTCTAGTGCAACCAATATAAAAACAGAAAAATTGTTCATTCACAGTGTAATGATAGTATTTGAATCTAACTTGGATGAAAAGAAAAGTACTTCACATGGCATTTTTTACCACATCACATTTAATTCAATTCAAAAACTGTTTTTCTTTTCTTATATTGCCAGGGTACATCTCTGAAATTATAAATCCCAATTATGATCATCAATTTACTTTTTAAAATCACAAATGTCCCACATATTTTTATAAATTTAATTAAATAATCCTTAATTTCCAACCCTAATACTAATATGAGCAATAAGTTCTTGTTTACCTATTCTAATTTAAAACAAAAATAATAACTTGTAAATTTACCTTTGTCATTAACTGTTTTACTTTTCTTCTTTATATTGCCAGGGTGCATATCTGGAATGTAGGTAAGAATTGCCCCGGAAAAAATGGCCCCAGAAAAAATGGCCCCATATGGCTGGTAGGTAAAAATGGCCCCAATGAAAAATTCGGTAATAGAAATGATATATTTTTTTTTTAATCTTCAAATATTAAGCAAGAATTGAATCAAGAAATAAAAAATGGCCCTTAATTATAAAAAAAAATAAAAAAATAAAAAAATTAATAATAATAAATAAATGCTGTAAAATATGCTGTAACAAAAATTTAATTAATAAATCAACATAAAGAATATGCATATTTGAGAACTAGCTCTGGGAGTAGGTCTAAGCAGGGAGTTGTTATTGTGACTTCTAAGTATTTTTTAAAATTATTAATATATTAGATATTATTACTATATTTGCGGTCAATTATTAATATTATTACATTATAAAACATTGATTCGGCATCAGTTTTGAACGACGAACTTGCAGGAAATGTTATAAACCATTTTCGTGAAATTTGAAATAAAAATTTCCAATAACGTGGCGACTACCAACTATGGGGACCTTCAGAGGCCTAGCATTTCGCGGTACGTATTACTGTCATGGATAAAATTAACAATAAATCTAAATTGCTAACGAGCAGAAACATTTTAAAACAGAAAAATACACGAAATGTTTATATTGAAAACAAGTCCAAGTATTAAATATCTATTTTTTTTAAAGAATTGGAACCTCTGGATGGCCAGAAATGACACTCTCAAGACTGTGACAAGCTTGTCACATTTTAATTTTTTTATTCCGACGACCTGTCAAATTGGGGGGGGGGGGGTCCTGATGTGGTTTGGGATGTATGTAATTTTGTAATCTAATATGTACACTGTGATTGTGTAAGTGACAACTAAGTACAATTCAATTGGTCAATTTTTTTTTTTAAAAGATTTTTTATTGGTTGAGAATCTATGCTGTAGCCAATAAATAAAAGCCTTTTGTTTTGAAATGCCGTATAAACAACATGTCTAAAAGTCCAGGTGTTATTTATCTCTTATTTTGGAATAATCATCTATTTTATGGAATAAATACAGAGTTCCTTCATTATATTAAAGTTTTGGTTTATTTATTTAGTTATGTAATCAGAAACTACAGTTACACCTTATTTTACGGGAACCTTAATTGGTGTTTATTTGTTATTTCATTTGTTTTATGAAATGACAATAATAATAATAATAATAATAATAATAATAATAATAATAATAATAATAATAATAATAATATTGGCAATATATTGTTACAATACTGTAACTTACAAAGCAACTTTTAAAAAATAGTAACATTGCATGCGTTAAAAAAGATGCTGTTAAATTAGTATTAGAAACTTTTTAGTAGGAATACATCTATACAGTACAGTAAAATGTACAATAGTCAGCGAGTTCGTCAAACAAGTTATAAAAAAAGTCTTGCCTTGGGTAGCATCTTTTTAAAGAAAATAATTAATTTCATTTAAATAAGAAATGATTATGCACAGTTAAGGTAACATAGGACAACATTTAAAAGATCATTATATTAGTGCTACTGAAACTGTTAATTATTTCAAGGTTTTATCTAAGTGCAAATCCAAGTTTAATTGCTTAATTAAAGAAATGCTTTGGATCAAAGAACTGAAACCTACACTTAACAAACAAACTGATTCAGTCAAAGCCAAACTGTTTATCTAGTTAATCTGCTAAGAAGGGCTAATTATTGCTTAGTATCCGAGTTCCATAAATTAATAGAAGAGGTGAAAACTAAGGCTCCTGAAACAAAATTAGTAATCTCTACCGTATGCCCTCGTGCTGATGATGAATCATTTCAACAGAGAGTTGACCAGCTGAATGTTCACATAAAAGAAATGTCAAATGAAATGGAGTGTGTAGTTTCAGACAATGACTTATCCTTCAAACTATCAAATAATAAATGT